AATGCTTGAACAAATTTCCACTAATTCTACATGGAAAAACCGCACGGTTAATAAGACAAAGAGGAGAGAATCTTGAACAAAACTCTAACATGCACAAAAATACAAATGAGTTGCACGGATTCTTAGCATGAATTGAATCAAAATCCACTAACACATCAAATATAAGCTTACGGCCCTCTAGCAAAAAATTGGAATTCTCCAATGCTAAAATATATATACAGCACGACATTTTAAAATGCTAATGAGGATTAATTACCATTAATCACAAATTAATGCTTAATAAATCAATTAAGCATAACACTTAATTACCAAAATTATTTCGAACGTAAACGGTACGTCGAAAATAATTTCCGGTAATTTTGACTGAAATAACTGAAAATAATTAATTTCGAAAATAATATCGGAACTAAAAACATAATTTATACTGATAAAAATGCAGGGATATTACAAGCCAGAGCTTTCACTGTCGACATAAAAAGATGATCAATACAAAAAAAAAAAAAAAACATACGAGCCACACAAACATGTCAAAACAAACAAAGGGTCATTGAGTCGATGAATACTCTTGTCGACACAGATGCCGACATGGTTAAGCAAAGAGCTATCTTTAGTCAATTGACGAGTGCTCCACACATGTTTATTCAACTCTTCGAACATATCCGCAAACTGCAAGGAGTCAGGGCGCTTGCGTTGCTTGGTTTTGCTGGTAATCCACTCGTTTGAGAAAGGATATTGACTAGGAGAAGGTCGAATGAAGAAATACTTCTTCTTCCATTCGGTGATGTTGGAAGAAGGGTCATCAAGGAAGGACACACCTACGGGACGACCCAGACAATGGGCGTCTTTGCTAAACCTATACTCGTAGCAGTAAAGGAAACACTCGGGCATGAAATTGTTGGAACCCATGAGGATCTCGATATGCACAAATCACGGACAAACATTCAACATAAGCCTATGTGCAGCGGATCTAAAGGTTTGATGTAGAAAACTTACGGCTTAAAATTTATGTAGATCTGGCTGACCCGAACAGATGACCGCAAATCAAATCTTCTTGGAATCGAACAAACTTGACCAATCCAGAAAGCTGGCGTCACGGCGAAGTCAACGGCGTTGACCGGTCAGAAATCAGAGGGTTCACGCGCTCTCACGCGCGCGTGTAAGTTCCAGCAGCTGGGATCTTCCGGCGGCGCGTGTGGGCGCGTGCGGCGGTGGCTGGCGGCGATCTCGACGGCGATCTCTTCGACTCGTCGTCCTGGTCGTTGTCGTATGGCCACTTGCTGGTTTTGGTCTCCGGTTTAGATGGATGATAGATTTGATTGGAATCCCGTATATACCTTAAGATCTTCTACTGTATTCTCAAACAACTATCTAGATCTTGTATCAGTGGAGCACAAGAAATAGAACAACTCCTTGGAAGAGAGAGAGAGAGAGAGAGAGGGGGGGCGGGCGTTTTTTATTATGGGATTCTCTTCTTCCATGAGCATAATGCTGTATATATAGAGCTACAGTAGGGATCCTAAGGAGAATAGGATAAGGGCTTCTAATATATTAATACTGTGGAGCAACCCCAA